TCGTTATCTTCTTGTGTGTCAATTAACGAATCACTTGAGCAAGCATTTACATATCACATGATTATAAAGAAAGAGTTAACTTCTTAAAATATTTTTAAACCTGCTTACTCAATGATTGGCTTCCTTATTAAATATTTTCTCGCAATTTGGAAAATTTTCAGGTTTATATATTTATTCTGATAATTCTAGTACTGTTTTTGTGTCAACCTTCAGTCTCCGATTAGGCATCACCTTAACTTTCCTGCCAAGTATACTATAAGCATCTACATGTGCCATATTAACTTGGTTTCATATGCCAACAAATATATCTAAAAGAGGCGGAGGAGGTCAAACTATCTGGGAGTCCATAACGTATTTGAACTAATTAGTTTCTGTCCGTCTGTCGTTTTCTCAAGAGTTGGCTTGATATAACCAGCCTGATTTGATTGTTCAATGAGAGATGGACTAGTCCAATGCAACTCCGTGGCCTTAAAATGCCATACATTTATTACTGCATTAAATTTTTCCTGGTTGGCGAACCATTGTTATAAACAATGTAACTGGCTACTACTGCCATATTTTTCGACCTCAAAAAGCCATAACACTTAAGCTTATCTAGGACAGAATTATTTTTTCCTGTGCTCCTTATCTTATTTGTATCGCTTTCAAGTTTAAATATGTCCCTCTATTCTACAGCTGAATCTGACCATTTAAAATCAATTGTAAGTTACTTAAGCTGTATTGTATTCAAATTGAATGATACTTAATATAAAATTCTATGACTCCCCCTAATATGATGATATTTATCTCATCCCTCAATAACTCTTCATTGTTCGGCTCTTCATGGCTTTATTGTTTACACTCTTGTCTTATGAATATCTCTAGATCTAGAAGCTTTGCGAATCCGCTGCGCTGAGGAGACAGTACGTTCGGAGCGTCTCGAGGCGGAACGCGAAGCCGTTGAAGTAAAGCTACAGTTGCTGACGAAAGAGTACGATTTGGTTTCACAACAGGTCGGAAGCACGCAGGAGCGTGTCCAGGGTCTGCAAATGTGAGTTATAGAGTTGCTTACTCTACCAGAGAGATATGTTAGAAAGCATTGCTAAAATAAGGCTATCTTCAAGTCTTTGGTAGATTAATAAAAAGAAGGATTCGTATTTATTTGATATGTTTCTGCCTCATCTGACCTGAGTTGCAGATAAATTCCAGCAGATTCGAACACTTTTGCTGCCGAAGCCTCCCCCCGAGATTGCTTTTACTACAAGATACCGATAAGTGAATGTTTGCAATGGATTATGAATTTCGACATGCTACATAACATAATAATTCTCATTTAATCAAGGCACCAGTTGCACTCAATCGAATTGCTTGAACATTAACTTGAGTTATTAAGGTTTATTTATCGAAGATATGAAGGCCAAGAGGGTGTGGCATTTTGTGTGGTCGCAGACTCTTTTCGTGGTATATAACTTGTTTGATTTTGTTTTCGCAATTTGGTCATATTGGTAGGAAGACTGAGAGGAACACACCTAGTACAGATTCCATAGAATACATGATCATTTCCAGAGTCTGGCCGTGGACGTGGTACATTTACAGACGTTTCGCCGGCATCGTTAGCGAGTCTTGCCATTCTTAGCACCATATTACAACTCATCAAAGAGACAAGTGAAGCCGATCCTTTTGACCAATTGTCTGTTAAACTGTCGTGTTATCTCCCCTTTTCCCCTAGGCTAATCACCAATTCTATATCCTCGTATCACGCCTTCCCTATCACAATTTCTTATTTGCTTATTTAAATATGATATGTTGTGCTCTTTTAAGCGGATATTATGAAAACTCATCAAACCCCACGCTCGCGTTCTCACCCCTTTTAACCCTTGTGCTTGGAATGTTGATCAGAGTTTGCCCTATTGTAACGCAGTCCTTCTTCCCTAGGTCTTGTCAGATTCTCCCTCTTGTCTCGTAGGATCCGTCTGTTATCTCCCTGGTCCAAGTATTTCACCCAACCCCTGCCGCCCCATCTGTGCTCCACGAGGCGTCATTTCCCCCACTCTGCGTCTACTAGACTAATTTGAGGCTAAAGCCCCTGATTAATTCTCATGGTCAAGTCATTGTTTGATAAACCACGCCTATGATTAAACAGGCCTATGGTCAGCCA